TTATTATTATTATCATTATTATTAATATTAGTATTATCATTATTATTATTAATCTTATTATTAGAAGTAGTAATAGTAGTTATTGTGTATTGTTATTCGTACAAATATCATTTTATTCATTATTATTGATATGAATAGCATTATTAGTAGTATGTTATTTTTCTTATTCTTATTATTATTCTTCATCATCTTCTTCTTCTTGTTCTTCTTCCTCCTCCTCCTCACCCTCGTCTTCCTCCTCCTCCCCCTCCTCCTCGTCCTGCCTCCTGCTCCTGCTCCTGCTCCTGCTCTTCCTCCTCCTCCTCCTCCTCCTCCTCCTCCTCCCCCTCTTCCTCCCCCTCTTCCTCTTCTTCTTCTTATTATCCTTATTCTTCTTCATCTTCATCTTCTTCATCTTCATCTCCTTCATCTTCTCCTTCATTCTCTTCATATTATAATTTTCTTCTCCTCCTCCTCCTCCTCTCCTCCTCCTCTTCCTCCTCTCCTCCTCCTCCTCCTCCTCCTCCTCCTGATCCTCCTCCTCCTCCTCCTCCTCCTCCTCCTCCTCCTCCTCCCCCTCTTCCTTACTTGTCCTCCTCCTTCCTCCTGCCTCCTCTCCTCCTCTCCTCCTCTTCCTCTTCCTGTCTTTCTCCTGCTCCTCCTTCGCTCTTCTATTTCCTCCTGCCTTCCCTCCTGCTTCTCGTCCTTCTCCTGATACCTCTCTCCTGATCCTCCTTCTCCTCCTCCTCCTCCTCCTCGTCCGCCTCCTCCCTCCTCCCCTCCCGCCTCCCTCCTTCTTCCTCCTCCTGTCTCCTCCTTCTCCTCCTCCTCCCCCTCCTGCCTCCTCCTCCCTCCTCCTCCTCCTCCCCCCTCCTCCTCCTCCTCCTCCTCCTCCTCCTCCTCCTCCTCACTCCTCCTCCTCCTCCTCCTCCTCCTCCTCCTCCTCCTCCTCCCCCTCTTCTTCTTTCTTCTTCTTCTCCTCCTCCTCCTCCTCCTCCTCCTCCTCCTCCTCTTTCTCTTCCTCTCCCTTTCCCTCCCCTTGCAGGGCTGCCCGTTTCGATTCGGGTTGGTTAGGTCACGAAGTGCCTCCCGTTCGGTCCGCGCCGGTTTAGTGTTGAACCCTTCTGGTTAGATTCGGTTCGGTTCGTCGTTGTGAATTTGGCCGCCTGGTTTGGCCCAGTTCGCTGTGCGTTTGTTTCCAGTTCGGTCCGGTTCGGATGTGGCGAGTTCGGCGACAGCGCAGTGCTTCGCGGCGGCCCGGTTCGGGCATTGCAGGCCCTGTTCAAGTCCGATTCGATCCGATTTCGATGCGCCCTTGCCGATTCCGGTTCCGGTCCAATCCCTCTGCCTTTTTCGGTTTCGATGTCGATCCCGCGCACGGATGCTGTTTCCGTCTTCGTTCTGGAGGAACAGGGATGCTGAGGGGAAGAAGAGGCGGGCGGAGGAAAAGGCGACGACGACGGCAGCAGTGGCGGCGACGACGACGACGATGAGCTCCTTGGGAGCGAGCCGCGTGGCGGCTTCCTGGCGCCGTCGGTTTGATGCGGCCTGGAACGTGTTGTAGCGGCTCGGGGGGGGAGGTCTGTTGAAGCCTCAGGGCCTGGTTTCGTTTGCGAAGGCCTTACGGCTGGTGCCGCCGACCCTGAAGGGGGACAACGACGACGGCGACGACGACGACGGCGGTGGAGGCGGTGACGACGACGCTGACGTGGGTCAGAGTCCTCAGGGATGCTGTTTGGGGTCTCTTCGGAGCGCTCTCGGAGGCCTCTGGGGGGCAGTTTTGGGGCCTCTTGGTGGCCTCTTGGCAGCCTCTTGGGAGCCTCTTGGGCCTTTTGGGGCCTCTTGGAGCCTCATAGGATCCTCTCGGGGCCAGGGCTCGAAATGTCCGTTCGGTTCCCCCGTCAGAGCACCCTGTTGGAGACGTCTTGGGGCGCTGGCGGCCTCTTGGTGGCCGCGTGGGAACTCTTGGGGACTTACTTCGGGCTTCCGGGACCGCGCTGGGGGGAAGCGTATCTGGGTGGGGACCCTCCCCGGGACCCCCCCCTTGGGACCCCCCCGGGACCCCCCCCGCGGGGAAGGGATCAAAGGGGACTTCCCTTCGACTCCACTCCGACGTTGTTCAATTTCGCTTCGGGCGGCGCGCTTGAGGAGGAGGGCCCAGAGAAATGGAACGGAGGACGACAGATACGACGACTCGAACGCAGAAGCCCGACTCGATCGGCGAAGCCCCTCACACACGCCGACAGGGTCGGCGGAATTCATGAGGGATCGTGGCCCTGGGAGCGCGGACGCAGCGAAATTTACCAGGGATCGTGGCACTGGGAGCGTGGACGGAGCTTAGTTTACCAGGGATCGTGGCCCAGGAAGCGTGGACACAGCGTACTTCACAAGGGAGCGCGGCCCTGGGAGCGCGGACGCAGCGTAGTTTACCAGGGATCGTGGCGGACGCAGCGTAATTTACAAGGGATCGTGGCCCTGGGAGTGCGGACACAGCGTGATTTACGAGGGATCGTGGCTCAGGGTGCGTGGACGCAGCTTAGTTTACCAGGGATCGTGGTCCAGGAAGAGCAGACGCAGCATAATTTATAAGGAATCGTGGCCCTGGGAGCGCGGACGCAGCGTAATTTCCAGGGGATCGTGGCCCTGGGAGCGCGGACGCAGTGTAATTTACGATGGGTCGTGGTCCAGGAAGAGCAGACGCAGCATAATTTATAAGGAATCGTGGCCCTGGGAGCGCGGACACAGCGTAATTCACGAGGGAGCGCGGCCCCGGGAGCGCGGGCTCAGCGTAGTTTGCGTAGGGTCGTGGCCCAGAGAGCGCGGACGCAGCATAATTTACAAGGGATCGTGGCGCTGGGATCGTGGACGCAGCGTACTTTACATGGATCGTGGCCCTGGAAGCGCAGACGCAGCGTAATTTATTAGGGATCCTGGCCGTGGGTCAGGGACGTCGCGCGGCACGTTCCCTGACGCGTTCCCTGAGCTCGAGCTTAAGATCCAGATCAGTTCGGTCAGGACTCGGATACAAAGGAGGACTCGATCCACAACGCTATGGAGCACAATCGCGGCATGGCACATCGCAATTCAGCACGGCGCAGTACAGCACAGCCCTTGGCACGGTACATCAAGATCGATACATTCAGCCTTGCAACTTGGCACGTTCCCTGGCAAGTTCCGTGGCGCGTCCCCTGGCGCGTCCCGTGGCACGTCCATTGGCACGTTCCGTAGCGCGTCCCTTTGGCACGTCCCGCGGTGTGTCCCCATGGCACGTCCCCTGGCACGACCCCTTGCGCGTCCCATTGGACGTTCCGCGGCGCTTCCCCCTGGCATGTCCCCCTGTTAATTATCTCTGGGGCAGCTACTATGGGCTCAGGCAGCTCGAGCTTAAGGTCAAGATCAGTTCGGTCAGGACTCGGATACAAAGGAGAACTCGATCCACAACGCTATAGAGCACAATCGCAGCATGGCACACTGCAATTCAGCACGGCGCAGAACAGCACAGCCCTTGGCACGGTATGTCACGGTCGATACAATCAGTATTTCAATTGCCCGTCGCCCAAGCAGGTGTCATGAAAAAGTCGCCATGCCTTTGCATTTCTATATTCCTGTTCGGGTTTGTGGGTCGATCATGTTCCCGGAAAGGGCGTCGGTCCAGGTTTCTCTTTGGCTGGGTTAACAATCTGGCCTCGACTTGAAGAGGGCCGGTGAAACTACTTGTGACAAATAACGAGGTGACGCCCCATTTTCCCGGAAAGGGCTGGGGCATAGGGTTTTCTTTCAGTTGGTGATTAAGCTGTCCCCGATGCCAAGTTCGAAGCGGGCTGGCATATTTATATACAAGGTCGAAGAGGGCCAGCGGATTACATTTTGAGGATGTCCCGAGCGAACCGTTGGCTTTTGAAATTCCGATCGATGAAATAAATAATGGTAAAGTGAACATTTTCGTTTGTTGCGGATGTCTTGAGCGAAACGCTTGTTTTGCAGAATTTGTTGGAGATATCTCGAGGGAAACAAATGTTTTGTCCCAAATTTTGCTCCTGTTCTGGGGGCCAGAATTCAGAGCATGTCTCAGGCGAAATACTTGGTTTCACATTCCCAGGCCCAGGGAGGTATCTAACATGGCTGTCCCCAGATGGAACCACATGCTTTCACGTGTCCAGGCCACCCAGGGGGTTATCCAAGATGGTGGTCCCGAACTCGAGCCTCGTGTTTTTACATGTCCAGGCCACCCAGTGGGGTATCTAACATGTCCAGGCCACCCAGTGAGGTCCCAGTGTCGGGGAGCTCCGCCGCCCTCGGCCGGCCCAGCGGGGTGCCATCACGCGAGCGGTCGCGGCAAGGAGGAGGAGGAGGAGGAGGAGGAGGAGGAGGAGGGCAGCACCGGCAGGATTTTGTGGGTCCCATCAGGTGGGACCCAGCGTGCGGGTGCCCCACGGTGCCCGCGGTACACCGCTATACAGTACGGTCGGGGCGTTGACCTAAGGAGCCCTAAATGAGGATCGAGGCCCCTCCCTTTTTCCCATAAGTTCAACCTCGATTTCCTATGGAAAGCCTCAGGAAAACCCGAGGCAAACTTTGAAACAATCAAGGAACACCGAGCCCCTCCCCAGCGAAAAGGGTTCCTTCTTCAGCGCCCCGACTGTACCCGCACGTTTTCGCTCATCGCTCCACGTCCTATGACCACCCCTCTCCCGGCGGGGGAAGGATCAAAGGGAAGGGGCTTCCCTTCGAGCGAATGACGACGTGTTTCCATGTCTTCCGGACCGACGACGACGAGGACGACGGCGACGATGACAGACGACGGTGACTACGACGAGGTCGACCCGACGACGACGACAGCGTCTTCCACGCGCCGACACGGTCGGCGGATTTGAGACGACTGTTACCTAGATCACCCGCGGGGGCGCGAAGAGAAACGTGCTTCGCGCGTCGCGGTCTGGGCCAGAGCGGCTGCCCTCCTCCATGGTGGGGCGGCGCGATGGCGCGAAGATGCGTAATCGGGCGTCGCGCATCGCGGGGTGCGATGCGCGAAGTTAGGTGGCCTAGAATACGGCCAGGCCAATCAACTGACTTTCCCACCTCTCTCCCAAGCCGCATATTTGGGCTCAAGTCACAAGGTGCCGCTTCGTCGATCATTGTGGCTGCCAGCCAGTCGCACTGGTTGTTTCTGGAGATGGGGCTCTCTTCGATCCAACAGGTCGTGGAGGACTACGTCTCAAGCGTCGCGCCCAGTTCGTCGTCCTTTTGTTTTTTGACCCTGGTGCCGTGGAGCTCGCAGGGTCAGCCAGCCAACGTGCTGGCCCCCGAAGCAGGCCATGGAGAGATGAGCCAGGGCAGCATCAACCAGATCTTCGAGCAGCACGAGGCTGTGGTGATCCCATCCGTGTACAAGACAAGGGCGGAGAAGAGGGGCTTGACGCGTCTCTTGGACTATTTGAGGGCCGCGCACCCTGACGCGTTCGTTTTCTTGGTGCAGCTGCCAGATCGGTTGGGTGCCGGGCTGACCAATAGCTACCTCCAGACCTTGATGGCGAGGCAGGATGCGCTCTACAGCTTTGGGGCGAGCGGCGTGCTGATGGAGCTGGAGGGTGACCCAGAGGGCTTGCAGCAGAAGGTACGTTTGGAGCTTGCAGAGAACGCCGCGATCCAGCTGCGTGTGCAGTGCTACGAGAGCACCGTGACAGCGGGAGTACTTTCCTCCAGCGAGCTCCAGACCATCGAGGACGAACACGACAGTCTTCTCTGGGAGACCATCCCGACGTTGCTAATGCCCGGTTTTCCTGATCTAGACAAGCGCTTGCTGGAACTTGGGGACAGGGTCGGGGAGTTCTTGTTGGTGCAGCAGTACGCAAATCATCATCACGTCTTGTTGGCGGTTAACGGGCAGCACGAGAATGTCGTGATCAAGACTCGCAATAAGCGGAGCGTCACCGCTGCCGAGGAGGTGGAGAGCGTCTACCAGGAGTTCAACCTCCTGACACACACCCTCGACCACCCACACATCATCCGCTGCGTAAGCATGCTGCACAGCCAGTCCTGTGTGCACCTGGTGCTCCAATATGGCGGCGACTTCTGCATGGAGCAGGTGCTGTCGATTCAACCAGGCCGCCATTTGTTCAGGGACGACGCCGTGGACTGCACCATCCAGATCGCGAGTGCTCTGTCCCACTGCCACGCCAATGATGTTACCCACGGGCAGGTGTCGCTGAGGCATGTGTCGGTAGAGATGGGGAGGAATCGGCTCGTTTGCCGCCTGGTGGACTTCAGCATGGCAGCCCACGTTCCAGACTTCAGCACGCGGGAGACCATGTGCGGTTCCCTCCCGTGCGTCGCTCCAGAGACAGCGCTGGGGGAGCCGTACTGGCCCAAGCCGGCAGATTGTTGGAGCCTAGGGGTGGTGCTCTTGGAGACCGCTTGCGGGCAAGGCTCGCTCGAGCTCTCGGTGCCATGGCGCGGTGCGCACCTCGTGCAGGCCATGCGGGAGATACTCGAGTTCTTCGCCCAAGCCGGCTCCCATGCCCAGGCGATGGCGATAATGGACGGCGTGCACGACGGAGCGACGTTGGCGTGCCTGGAGGAGCTGCTGAGGCCCGAACCCCTCCGCAGGGCGAGCGCCTCCGACGCGGCAGACGTGCTGTCAGCCAGGCGCGTGAAGGCCGCTCGTTGATGGGTGGTGCTCGGGGAACACATGATGACACAAACTGATGGGCCTGTCTTCTACCACCACCACCATATGTTGGAGGGTGAGGGGGTCCTCCTCCTCCTCCTCCTTCTCCTCCCCCCTTCAACTTACGGTGGTGGTGGTGGAGAACATGCCCATCATAAACATCGGCACCGGAGCTCCCTGGCGGCGCCTCGCCCGGCGTGTCCCCGCGCGCCAAGGAGGGGCCTAGCGCCGATGCAAGAAATCTGCGCAGACCCCCAACGTCTTTGTCTGTGCCCTATTTGTCCCCCGCGATGCGCCCACGCCTGGGGGTTGGCACCTGTCCCTCGAAAACGAACGGCGCAGTTGCGGCTCTCTGCGCAATTTCTCTATGAATTCAGCTCATTCGAGCTCCAGGCAGAACGGATGCTTGCGCCTCCATGTTTTCAGCACTACACGCTGCTGTGTTCGCAGTCGTGCGTGTTTCGGCGTTTGCCTGAGCGTCTTCATTGAGTGACTCCGTCACAGTTTCTTCTTCCCTCTTCTTTTTGACTGCACCCACGGTGCTCCAGAGGTCTGGTTGGACAGCCTCTCTACAGCCCGCCGTGCCGATGATCGCTTTCGCGAGGTCGATGGCAATGGCAATATCATCCAGTAGTCTAACTCGCTGACTCCCACAAGTGATTGTGCTTTGCAGCAGTCCTTATCATCCTTGGTCGGTTTGACAATCAGCAGTGTCGGATTGATGAGCAGTGTCAACTAATTAGTAGCCGCTGTTTTTCTCGCGCGCCTCTGCGCTAGGCGCGATCGTTGCAGGCGTTCCGTCTGCCCCTCTTTTGCAGGCGTTCCGTCTGCCCCCCCCCCCCAAGACCTCTCCGAATGCATGCCCATGGCAGCAGGACTCGCGAGAGGCACCAAGGGGTACTATTAATAATTAGTATGTGGCATGCGAATGCGAAAACTGTTACGACTGTGAACATAATTGCCTCCGGCCCATCCCGCCCTCGTTCCTGGGTTGTTGGTCAGAGTTCTCAGGGATGCTTATTGAGGAGGAGGAGGAGGAGGAGGAGGAGGAGGAGGAGGAGGAGGAGGGGGAGGAGGAGGAGGAGGAGGAGGAGGAGCGCTCTCGGGCGCCTCTTGTGGGCAGCTCCGGGTCCTCTTGGGCGCCTCTTGTGGGCCTCGGTCCTCCTGGGGCCTCTTGGGGGCCGCTCGGTGCCTCTTGGGAGCCACCTGGGCCCTCCTGGGAGCTCCTCGGGTCCGCGGGCTCGAAATGTCCGTTCGGGTCCCCCATCTGCCCGCCCCTCCCCGTTTGGAGCCGTTTTTTCCCAACCATCCTGCGGTGTTGGGTCCTCGTTTTGAAGAGACAGCGCCCGCGTCTTACTTCCTTCTACTCCCGCTGCCTCCCCTCCCTCGCCCCATCATCAGCATCATCGTCACCATCATCGCCATCTCTCATCATCCATCAGCATCATCATCTGCAGCATCATCTTCATCCACATCATCATCATCATCATCATCATCATCATCATCATCATCATCATCATCATCATCATCATCATCATAATAATCGTCATCATCATCGTCATCATCATCGTCATCATCATCGTCATCATCATCCTCATCGTCATCATCATCATCATCATCAACATCATGGCCGTCACCATAACCACCATCGTCATCACCACCGTCATCGTCATACTCATCATCATCATCATCATCATCATCGTCGTCGTCGTCGTCGTCGTCGTCGTCGTCGTCGTCGTCGTCGTCATCATGGCCATCATCGCCATCATCATCGCCATCATCATCGCCGTTGTCGTCACCATCATCGACACCCAATTCGGCACACTCCTCACACGTTTCGTGACCCCATAGGGAGCTCCACTGAAGGCCACAGTGGCAAAGTTCGCATGCGGTTCCACCCCCGTTTTTGGCCCACCCTTCACAGGGTTCGTGGCCCCGTAGGCAGCTCCACCGAAGGCCCCAGTGGCAACGTTCGCATGCGGTTCCACCGCCATTTCGGCCCAACCCTCACACGGTTCGTGGCCCCATAGGGAGCTCCACCGAAGGTCCCAGTGGCAAAGTTCGCATGCGGTTCCACCCCTATTTCGGTACACCCCTCATACGGTGCGTGGTCCCATAGGGAGCTCCACCGAAGGCCCCAGTGGCA